CTGGAGTTTAAGTAAGAGGTAGTTGTGATTAAAAGGCTTTTTTTAGGTCAATGAAGAGTCCAATCGGAAACTCATTTTTGTCAAGGGCTGAGTAGATTACATCAAGGAGACTAATGATTGCATCATTGGTGCTCTTTTAGGACCGGAAGCCAAATTGGCAGGGGCTGAGTATGTCGAATTTTTTACGAGGTAGGAATAGAGTTCTTTAAATAATATTTTAAAATATTTTTGATAGAATGGATAGGTTTGATATTGGTCAATAATTGTTTATGTCCGCTGGATTGCCGCCTTAATGAACTAGCGTTACTCTTGCTTTTTTAAGGATATCAGGGAAGGTATGACACTATGGATTTGTTGGACAGTAGAGCTATGGGTGGCGCAAGGACATTGGGATGCGCTCTTGTATACAATGAACGGAATTTCACTGATGTTCCTTGCCTTGGTTTTTAGCGAGTGTTTGATGGACACAACATCTGCCGGGCTGACTGGTGAAAGGAGAAGAGAGTTTGGATGGCTGCCTGAGAGATGTGTGTTAATATATGTCTGAGTCTGTGGGATTTTTCCTAGCAAGATTAGCACCAACCGATGAAAAGAAGCTATTAAATTCATTTGCCGTTTCTAAATCAGTTGATGGTGTGTAGCCATCCCTATAAAGTTTTATTTGGTTATGTGAGTGTTGTTTAGTTCCTAGGATACTAGAGATGGTTTTCCATGTGCTTTTCATGTTTTCTTTTGCTTCATTGAATCTATTCTCATAATATGAAAGTTTTGCCTTTTGTATGATACTGGTAAGCATTGATGTGTACCTTTTAACTACTTCCTTTGGAACTAGGCCAATCCTAAGTTTCTTTTCATAGTCATGTTTCCTGTTGATTGATTTGAATATGCCACTTGTGAGCCATGGATTGTTTATTCTTTTGTCAGTTACTTGCTTGGTAAGGAGGGGACAATGAGTGTTGTAGAGGCTTAGAGTTTTGGAGAGGAAGAGGTTAGCTAATGAATTTATATCCTTAGTATTATTGAATTCAGATTCCCAGTTAATATTGTGAAGTGCATTTGTAAGATTGCCTAAAGCTGATTCAATGTGTAACCTGAATGTAAGTTTCTTGCTTTCTGGTGATGTTAAGTCTATGTTTGCTATGAGAAAGGTAGGATAATGATCAGTCGTAGATTGTACCAGATACAAGGGGAGCTGTTATGTTAGTCCATAAGTGATCCAAGGTACTGGCTGATGTTTGAGTGACTCGGGTGGGTTTGGTGATTGTTGGGATTAGCATACAGGAGTTCATGCTGTTAAGGAAATAATCAACTTGAGAGCAATTTTGTTGACCCAGGTCAATATTGAAGTCTCCTCCCAGAACGATGTGGTTTTTGTTGAGATTGTTGTTTATAATAAGATTCCTTAGGTTATCTGAGAATGAAGCTACGTTAGTATTGGGAAATCTATAGATGGCTCCAATAGTCTAGGAGGATTTAAGGGATTTAATTGTAAACTGAGCAAAAGTATATTCACAGTAGTCATCTCTATCACTAATGACACTGTTGCAAATAAATGTATTTCAGTAATATATAGCTGTGCCGCTACCTTTTTTATTAGGCCTACAGTTGTGAATGGCTTTATAACCAGCTAAGTAGAAGAGTTGGGTATAGTCTTTACTTAGCCAAGTTTCTGTTAAAATAATGAACGAGTCGTACGGACTATGGATGTTACGAAAACATTACGAATACGGACGTAGCCGCCACGAAGGCGCTAAGAGGGAAAACGTTCTTGGCTAAGAGGAAAAAACCTTCATAAGTACCTTCCTGAATCCGGCACCTAGTTTATCTGTGTGCAAGAACCACTATACTTGGTTTATAGGGCTTGTTCCTAAACCTTCTCACCGAAAGTCATGCACATGAGATTATTGCTTTAATTAAAATTCAGCATTTTAATGTCAGTTGTTTGTATAATTACTTTATAATGATTTTGAAGGCAGGATGTGAAAAGAAAATTTGGCATTTATTAGCTGTCTCAAGAGACAAGTTTGTGGCCTGTCTGGAGGCCACAATCTTATGAGGGTGGGTTCTTCAGTATCCCAGAGGCAGCCATTTAAGCATGACATACAATAACGAGATACGCAGTAATAATTGTTTAATACTGTATCCAATTATTGCATTATCCAATAAGCCCTGTTACCAATATATCCACAATTCTTGGATTAGGGTTCATACATTAACATTACCCAAGTCCTCCTCATGGAAAGCAGAGTCATCAGCCATGAAATAAAATAGTAAGATACAAGTATTAGGTTATAGGTATCTATATCTCTAAAGAAGTGTTTCTCTTCGAGGTTGGAGGCCCAATGCTTAATGCTAGCCTCGTCAAACATTTTAAGATGACGCATGGGTAGTAAGGAACTCTCATAAACTTATCAGGATCTGCCCCAGTACCGCCATTTTAAGAAAAGTGCCTATTCTAAATTCTTGCGAGTCTTGTGGAATCTAAAATGGGGGTTTGCAT